CACTCCAGTTCACTTCCAGTGCCTCCCAGTCCCTCCCAGTCCCCCCAGTTCCCTCCCAATTTCCTCCCAGTGCCCACCAGTTCGTTACCAATTCCCTGCCAACATCCTCAACCGCTCCCAGTGCCCACCAGTTCCTTCTCTGTCCTTCCCAGTGCCCACCAGTCACCTCCCAGTCCCTCCCAGCTCCCTCCCAGTGCCCCCCAGTTTCTCCCAGCTGCCTCATAGTGCTCTCATATACCCTCCCAGTCCCTCCCAAACCCTCCCAGTGCCCCCCAGTTCCCTCCCAGTCCCCACCTGTGCCCTCCCAGCTCCCTCCCAGTGCCCCCCAGTTGCCTCCCACTCCCTCCCAGTGCCCCCAGTTCCCTCCCACTCCCTCCCAGTCCCCTCCCAGTGCCCCCCACTGCCCTCCCAGTGCCCCCCCAGTCCCTCCCAGTCCTCACCAGCAGCCAGCAGCAGCAGGGGCAGGAGGCGCTCCATGGCGGCAGAGGACTGGGACCTGGAGGCTGCCGAGGCCGGGCCCGGCCCTTTAAATCCCCGGGGGGGCCCCGCCCTGGAAGGTTGGGGCGGGGACAGTGGGGACACGCCCACCACTCCCAGTGCTCCCAGTGCCCCCAGTGATACCAGTGATACCAGTGATACCAGTGATACCGGTGCCTAAATCCTCGTGTTTCCAGTGCTCCCAGTGCTCCCAGTGTCCAAGTGTTCCCAGTGCTCCCAGTGACCGCAGTGGCCCCAGTGACCCCAGTGACCCCAGTAATCCCAGTGGTCCCAGTGATCCCAGTGCTCCAGTGGTCCCAGTGATCCCAGTGCTCCCAGTGCTCCCAGTGATCCCAGTGCTCCACTGATCCCAGTGACTCCAGTGATCCTAGTGGTCCCAGTGACCCCAGTGATCCCAGTGGTCCCAGTGATCCCAGTGATTCCAGTGCCCCAGTGCTCCCAGTGATCCCAATACCCCAGTGCTCCCAGTGTTCCCAGTAATGCCAGTGGTCCCAGTGCTCCAGTGATCCCAATACCCCAGTGCTCCAGTGTTCCCAGTGAGCCCAGTGATCCCAGTGGTCCCAGTGGCCTCAGTGATCCCAGTGCCCCAGTGGTCCCAGTGATCCCAATATCCCAGTGCTCCCAGTGGTGCCAGTGGTCCCAGTACTCCAGTGATCCCAGTGACCCCAGTGATCCCAGTGATCCCAGTGATCCCAGTGCCCCAGTGCTCCCAGTGATCCCAGTGCCCCAGTGCTCCCAGTGTCCCCAGTGCCCCAGTGATCCCAGTGATTCCAGTGCTCCCAGTGGTCCCAGTGCTCCAGTGATCCCAGTGCCCCCAGTGCCCCAGTGAGCCCAGTGACCCCAGTGCTCCCAGTGCTCCCAGTTTTCGCAGTGTCTCCAATGCTCCCAGTGCCCCAGTGTTCCAGTGCTTCCAGTGCTACCAGTTTTCTCAGCGTCCCCAGTGCTCCCAGTGCCTCCCAGTGCCCCCAGTACCTCCTAATTTGCTCCCAAGGCCTCCAATGCCTTCCAGCGCCCTCCCAGTACCTCCCAGTGCCTTCAGGGGCTCCCAGTGCTCCCAGTGCCTCCCAGTGAACTCCTGAGGCCTCCAATACCTCCCAGTCCCTCCCAGCACCGCCCAGTGCCTCCCAGTGTCTCCTAGAGGCTTCCCAGTGCCTTCCAGTACTTCCCAGTGCTTTGCAGTGCCTCCCAGTATATTCCAGTGCCTCCCAGCATGTCCCAGTGTATCCTAGTACCCTTCCAGTACCTCCCAGTGCCCTGCTTGCCCTTTCCAGTGCCTCCCAGTACCCTTCCAGTGCCTCCCAGTACCCTTCCAGTGCCCCCCAGTGCCCTCCCTGCCCTTTCCAGTGTCTGCCAGTTCCCTTCCTGTCCCTCCCAGTGCTTCCCAGTGCCCTCCCTCCCCTTCCCGGTGCTCCCCAGTTCCCTTCCCGTCCCTTCCAGTGCCTCCCAGTTCCTTTCCAGTGCCTCCCAGTTCCCTTCCTGTCCCTCCCAGTGCCCCCTCTGCCCTTTCCAGGGCCTCCCAGTGCCATCTCTGCCCTTCCCAGTCCCTCCCAGTACAGCCCACACGGCTGCGGGTAATCCGCAATCCTCCCCCTTGAGGCCCTCCGCGAGTGGGGGCTCTGCCCTGCCTCAGTTTCCCCCTTTGGCCAAATTTTTTGGGAGAAGGGGACCCCAAAAAAGGGGCGGAGTTAAGGGAACCCAAAAACAGGAGCGGAATTAAGGGACCCCAAAACAGGGGCAATTAAGGGGACCCCAAATGAGAGATGTAATTAAGGGGACCCCAAATCAGAGACATAATTAAGGGGACCCCAAAACAGGGGACGAATTAAGGAGACCCCAAAATAGGGGAAGAGTTAAGGGGACCCCAAAGCAGGGGCAATTAAGGGGACCCCAAATGAGAGATGTAATTAGGGGGACCCCAAATGAGGTACATAATTAAGGGGACCCCAAAATAGGGGAAGAATTAAGGAGACCCCAAAATAGGGGCAGAGTTAAGGGGACCCCAAATGAGGGACATCATTAAGGGGACCCCAAAATAGGGGAAGAGTTAAGGGGATCCCAAAGCAGGGGCAATTAAGGGGACCCCAAATGAGAGATGTAATTAAGGGGACCCCAAATCAGAGACATAATTAAGGGGACCCCAAAATAGGGGACGAATTAAGGAGACCCCAAAATGGGGGCAGAGTTAAGGGGACCCCAAAGCAGGGCAATTTAAGGGGACCCTAAACGAGGGACATTATTAAGGGGACCCCAAATCAGAGATGTAATTAAGGGGACCCCAAAATAGGGGAAGAATTAAGGAGACCCCAAAATAGGGGCAGAGTTAAGGGGACCCCAAAGCAGGGGCAATTAAGGGGACCCCAAATGAGAGATGTAATTAAGGGGACCCCAAAATAGGGGAAAACTTTAAGAGACCCCAAAATAGGGGCAGAGTTGAGGGGACCCTAAATGAGGGACATCATTAAGGGGACCCCAAAATAGGGGAAGAGTTAAGGGGACCCCAAAATAGGGGCAGAGTTAAGGAGACCCCAAAATAGGGCAGAAAAGGGGACCCCAATATAAGGGAGGGGTTAAGGGGACCCCCAGCAGAAGAGAGTAAAGGGGACCCCAAAACGAGAGACCAAGTTAAGGGGACCCCAAATGAGAAGCAAAGGGGACCCCAAAGCAGAATTAGAGGGACCCCAAAAGATAATTATGGGAACCCCAAAGGAGAATTAAGGGAACCCCAAAAGAAAATGAAGGGGACCCCAAAGGAAAATTAAGGAGATCCAAAAGGAGAATTAAAGGGACCCCAAAAGAGAATTATGGGGACCCCAAAGCAGAATTGAGGGGACCCAAAAAGCCAATGTCCCCAAGGGGATAATGTCCCCAATGGGATGAGGTCCCCAAATGGATGACGTCCCCAAAAGGATGATGTCCCCAAGATGATGATGTCCCCAAGGTGCCCATGTCCCCAAAAGGCCAAAATCCCCAAAAGGATGATGTCCCCAAGGTACCAATGTCCCCAAGGAGATGATGTCCCCAATGGGTAGGGGTCCCCAAAAGGATGACATCCCCAAAGGGCCAATGTCCCCAAGGGAATGATGTCCCCAACAGGATGATGTCCCCAAGACGATGATGTCCCCAAGGTGCCCATGTCCCCAAAAGGCCAAAATCCCCAAAAGGATGATGTCCCCAAAAGGATGACGTGCCCAAAAAGCCAATGTCCCCAAGACGATAATGTCCCCAATGGGATGAGGTCCCAAAATGGATGACGTCCCCAACAGGATGATGTCCCCAAGGTGCCAATGTCCCCAAAAGGCCAACATCTCCAAGGGCATGATGTCCCCAAGGGGATGATGTCCCCAAAGGGCCAATGACCCCAAAAAGATGATGAGCCCAAAAAGATGATGTCCCCAAAGGGATGATGTCCCCAAGGGAATGATGTCCCCAACAGGATGATGTCTCCAAGACGATGATGTCCCCAATGTCCCCAAAAGGCCAAAATCCCCAAAAGGATGATGTCCCCAAAGGGACGACATCCCCAAAGGGCCAGTGTCCCCAAGGAGATGATGTCCCCAAAGGGCCGATGTCCCCAAAAGGATGATGACCCTAAAGGGACGATGTCCCCAAGGTGATGATGTCCCCAAGGTGCCAATGTCCCCTTCCAGACCTGGAGGACACCACGATCTGGGGACATCTGGGGACTGTCCCCAAAATACCACCACCAGCACCTCGGGACAGTCCCTTCCACCCCTCCCCCAGGCCTCCACCTAATTAGCGGCCTAATTAGGCCTAACGAGGATTCCCTTGGGGAAATCCCATCCCTTTCTGGGTGCCCGCAGAGGGGGGACCTCGCACAAGGTCCCCGTGTCACCGTCACCCCTCCCCGTTCCCGGTGACCTCGGCTGTTGGCCGCGCTCCCAATTAGCATGGCCAACACGAACATCATGGGTAATTCATTAATTAGTGGGGTGATTAATTAGGGTGGGGTCCTGCAGCCGGTGAAGCTGCCTAGAGAGTCTGGGAGAGGAAAGCTCCCGGTGCCGGTAGGTGTGTAGGGGATTAATTATCCCTATTAATTAGGCTTATTAATTAGTCCCTTTCCCCCAGTGCGGGTGCAGGAGACAGGATTCGTGCCCCGTCTCAGATCCCAAAGGGTTTCTCGTTAACGCTAACGAGGGAAATCACTAATTAAAGCAACGTTCTCCTAATTATGGGGTTATTGCCAGGATGGCAATTAATAGCTCATTAATTATTGCCCTGATGTCCCCCTCCCCAAACAATGCGGCAAAAGGACCCCAGGGGACGCTGAGGGGTCCACATCCAAGGGTCCCGGAGCCCCCCCCCAAATCCTTCCATGACTCAATTTCCCCTTTTTCTTCCAATTCCTTTATTCTGCCCCAAATCGCCCGTTTTCCCAAGTGCATTCTGGGAAATTCTTTGCTTCTCCCACCCCACCCCAAATACTTAAGTGCCGAGAATCTCCTCGGGGGGGGGCGGGGAGGTGGTGGGGCCGGGGAGGGGGGTTGGTCTCGCTACCCCCTGACGTATCTCCTGATCCAGGGCACGGCTTGGCACACGTTGGAGTAGACGCCGGGCTGCCCCTTGCGCCCGCAGACGGCCATGCCCCACGACACCACTCCTTGAAGCACCCCGTTGCACACCAGCGGACCCCCGGAGTCACCCTGTGGGGAGAAGAAGAGCACCAGGTGGGGCTGGCTGGGGGGACACCACCCACCTTGCACCCCGTGGCGTGGTCCGGTCCCGGCTAGGAGGTAGTTGTGGGGAAGCCAAATATTTTGGGGAAAACAAAGGTTGTGGGGAGCCCAAATATTTTTGGGGAAAACAAAGGTTGTGGGGAACCCAAATATTGTGGGAAACCCAAATATTGTGGGAAACCCAAATATTGTGGGAAACCCAAATAGTTTTGGGAAAACAAAGGTTGTGAGGAACCCAAATACTGTGGGAAACCCAAATATTGTGTAGCTTCACCTACATGTTGAGGTCATTCCCTGGTTTTATGGTTTGGGTTAGAGATAATGGTAGAGGAACCCAAACCTTGCATGGATTCATCCACTTGTTGTGGTCCATCCTTGGTTTTGTGCCTCAGGCATGAGGTAGTTGTGGGGAACCCAAATATTTTTGGGAAAACAAAGGTTGTCAGAAACCCAACTATTGTGGGAAACCCAACTATTATGGGAAACCCAAATAGTTTTGGGAAAACAAAGGTTGTGGGGAGCCCAAATACTGTGGGAAACCCAAATATTGTGGGAAACCCAAATAGTTTTGGGGAAAAAAAAGGTTGTGGGGAACCCAAATATTGTGGGAAACCCAAATATTGTGTAGCTTCACCTACATGTTGGGGCCATTTATTGGTTTTATGGGTTGGGTTGGAGATAATGGTAGAGGAACCCAAATCTTACATGGACTCATCCACTTATTGTGGTCCATCCCTGGCTCCGTGACTGAAGAATGAGGTAGTTGTGGGGAACCCAAATATTTTTGGGAAAACAAAGGTTGTGGGGAACCCAAATATTGTGGGAAACCCAAATATTGTGGGAAACCCACATAGTTTTGGGAAAAAAAGGTTGTGGGGAACACAAATATTGTGGGGAAACCCAAATATCATGGGGAACCCAAATATTGTGTAGCTTCACCTACATGTTGGGGCCATTTATTGGTTTTATGGCTTGGGTTAGAGATAATGGTAGAGGAACCCAAATCTTACATGGACTCATCCACTTATTGTGGTCCATCCCTGGCTCCGTGACTCAAGCATGAGGTAGTTGTGGGGAACCCAAATATTTTTGGGAAAAGAAAGGTTTGTGGGGAACCCAAATATTGTGGGAAACCCAAATAGTTTTGGGAAAAAAAAAAGGTTGTGGGGAGCCCAAATACTGTTGGAAACCCAAATATTGTGGGAAACCCAAAGAGTTTTGGGAAAACAAAGGTTTGTGGGGAACCCAAATATTGTGGGAAACCCAAATATTGTGGGAAACCCAAATAGTTTTGGGAAAACAAAGGTTGTGGGGAACCCAAATATTGTGGGAAACCCAAATATTGTGTAGCTTCACCTACATGTTGGGGCCATTTATTGGTTTTATGGTTTGGGTTAGAGATAATGGTAGAGGAACCCAAATATTGCGTGGACTCATCCACTTGTTGTGGTCTATCCCTGGCTCTGTGACTCAAGAATGAGGTAGTTGTGGGGAACCCAAATATTTTTGGGAAAACAAAGGTTGTGGGGAACACAAATAATGTGGGAAACCCAAATATTGCGGGAAACCCACATAGTTTTGGGAAAACAATGGTTGTGGGGAGCCCAAATATTGTGGGAAACCCAAATATCGTGGGAAACCCAAATATTGTGTAGCTTCACCTACATGTTGGGGCCATTCCCTGGTTTTCTGGTTTGCAGATAATGGTGAAGGAACCCAAACCTTCCATGGCCCCATGGGAGGAGGGTGAAGGGACCTCTTACCTGGCAGGAATCGATGCCCCCCTGGGGGACGCCGGCACAGAACATGTTGGGGGTGATCAACCTCCCGTACGCCCTCGCGCACTTATCCTTCCCAAAAGCTTGGACGCCGGCACACTGCAGATTTCTGGGGAGCTTTGCTGCAGACGAGGGGGGTGGAGAGAAAAAAACGGTGAAAAAGGGCAGCCTGCTCGTGCTGAGGCCTGAGTAGACCTCGTGGTATTTTTGGGGGGGTTCCTTGGGAGGTGGGCAAGGGAGATGCCTCCAGCAGAGGTCCAACGCAAAGGAAACCCCAACTTCAACCCCAAGGGAAAGTCGTTCTTCATGGGAAACCTCAGTTGGGTAGAATTGAAGACTACATCAGGGGCAATCCCTCATCCAATTTTCCCAACCAAAAAGACAGCTCAGCCTCCTTTTCCCTGCCAAATTACGTCCCCCCCACACCCCACCTCTTCCACCGGGGTCTCCACCGTGAGCCAGTACCTCCGGGGGACTTGGTCGTGCCCCAGCCGGACACGCTGCACCTCATCCCGTCCATGGGACACCTCGTGGCCAATCTGATCTTCTTGATGTTGTTGCTGAACTGCACGGGTCTGTTGAGCCTCAGGAGCATGAAGTCGTTGTCGTTCTTGCGGGGGTTGTAGGCCGGGTGGACGATCGACCGTGAAATCATCCTCACCTCCCCCGTGCCGTCCCGCAACGTGTCCGTCCCGATTAACACCCTGAGGTCCCTGCCCGGAGAAGAAGGTCAAGAAATCAGAGCCAGCTCCTCCAGAGGAGATGCACAACCCTATGGGTCAAGGGGATGACCAAGGGTCAGGCAGAGTTAGGGTGATGTGTCCATGGGTCCACCTTATCCCCTTGTCCTCGGGCAGAAAAATGAAAATGCAAATGAAAATGAAAATGAAAAATTTGGGATTCATGAGCTAGATCTCCTCCAAGAGCTCTTCGATGGCCCAGGTACCCTGGGGCCTTTCCCATCTCCATGGGACTTTGGAGAACGTCTTGACTTCAGCTCCTTGACTTCACCTTCGTCTTCCTCGCATCAGGCTTCGGGCAAGGAGTCCCACTGCAACATCCCAGCAACGCCACCCTGAGCCCAACTTCTGGCCAACGTTTCTTCTGTTTTTCATCGTTATTTCCTCTCTGGAAAGTGAGGTTTCCTCTCGTGGAGCCTTGCTGGAGAAGCTGGAGAAGTTTGGCTGTGGGGGGACCTGCTCCACTCGGTGTCCTCACCTGGAAAAAGGGGGGTGACCAGGCCTCAAACGTGGGGGAGGTTGAGTCCGTTGGGGGTTGATGGCCAGAGGTTGTCACCCAGCAAAGGAGACGTCAGCTCCTGTCTCCCTGGCTGTGCTGTGCCTTCGATGCCCTCTGGAGGTACCAGCTTCTGGATACCAACATCTGGAGACACCCATGGCTGGAGCATCAACATCTGGTGCTTCTGGACATCAAATCTGGAGGTAACATCTGGGTACGACTAGCAACCTCCGGAGATACCCAGCTGTGGAGCTACCTGAAGGCACCAGACTCGACATTACCAGCTTCTGGACACCAAAATACCAGCTTCTGGACACCAAAATGCGGAGGTGTCCATATCTGGAAGTGGAGACACCAACATCTGGGGCATCTCTCTCTGGATGCCACCATTTGGAGGCACCGTCCTCTGGAAGTGCCAACATCTGGGCACCGATACCTGCAGGTACCAACCCCTGGGACCCACCTCTCCCCGTCAGTCGTTAAAAAATTTTGGAAAATGAGGCGTCGGCTTGTAGGAAGCCATGGGGAAGGTGAGCACGGAGCCAGCTTACCTGCCCGGCTGCTTGCAGTGGGCGGCCGTCAGGACCCACTGGGCGTCTATCAAGCTTCCACCACACAGGATTTGTCCCCTCTTGATGAGGGCAACCTGGAAAGGTCTCTGGGTGATGGAGCAGGGCTTCCCACCGATGATACGGGACTCATCCACCTCCGGCACTGCAAGACAATTTTGGGTTGAAAAGCACAAAAACAACTTTTAAAATGGTTAAATGGGGCATGGAAGGGAAAGCACTCTCTCCTGTGTGTTTTTTTTTTAGCCTTAAAATACCATCAGAACAGTCAAAATCATAATTAAAACTTTTTGTTGTGTTTTGTTTCACTGAGTCGTCTATCAACCTACTGAGGTCCCACCAAACTCTTTTTTTTTTTTTTTTTAAATGAGAAAAAGATGGTTTTTGGACCAGGAGCAGTTGAAATCCAACCATGAGTAGCCCCAAAGAGTCCCTCGATGATCTGAATTCTCCCGATGCATTCTGATGGAGCCCACCACTCCATGGCCCAACCACGCATCCCAGGGAGAGCGTTGGGGTGGGAGATGCCACGAAGAAGACCCCCTGGGACCAGTCCATCGTGCCAGGCTGTGCCCATGAGCTGTCCTGGAAATCACCATGCGTCAGGAAGTCACCAAGGGCCACTTATCTCCGCCGGTTTCGCCATGTGCCTCGGGGAGGGGCATCCGTTCCACCTCTAAGATTCCTCCCAGCCCAAGATTGGACTCTAAAAGGGAGATGACGCACCCCTAAAAGAGCTGATTTCTTCTTCCTCCGTTGGTAAGAAAGCCTGTAGGACCAGCTCGAAAAGACTCCTACCTCCCGGATGGCTCATGTTATGTACCCAGACCTCCTAGTTAGGGCCGAGGTAGAAGATGGTTGCATCAACACAAGCAGGAGAAGCCATGACACAGGGAGAAATGATAACAGGAGCTCACTCAGGAATGCGAGTCCTTACGTAGCTCCGGAGCCAAGACGCGTTGGTCCCATGAGGTTTGCGGGGAAGAGAGAGAGCCATCAGCTTAGTTTTGGTGTCTTATCATTTTTGGGGTCGTATCTCGGTAAAAAAGGGTCTCATCACCCGAAGTTTCCATTTCTGACATGGATTTATCAATCTTTAAGGTCTCTGGAAGCATCTCCCCTTGATTTAGCTCGCTGAAGCTGGTGGTGGTCCACTGAGTTGGCCAACTTTGATGGTCCTCGAAGAGAAGGAGGGACCTTTTTGGGAGGAAATCCCACCCCATCCAACGCTGGATGTCTGCAAGACGAGGTGTCCCGCCCCATGCTGGAATATTTATGAGGTTCGTGGGGTGATCATCTTGAGGTTGTGCCCAAGCAAGACTCCACTTGGGTGTCCACACAATGGACATTAAAAAAAATAAAAAGAATAAGAAAAAAAAAAAAAGGAAAAAAAAAAAAGAAAGAAAATATATTTTTTAAACAAAAACCCTCTCTCCTACCCCCAAAAATGCGCAGTAGTTGGACTTTCGCCTCTATCACATGGGACATATCAAATCCTCATTTCCCCAAGATGTCTTCATGGGTGTTGAGGCTGAGTCCTCCACGCTGTAACCTGGAGCATCCCAGCTGATTTTTGGGGTGATTTTGGGAAGAAGTTGTGCTTGCCACCTCCACGTGTCGGCTGCCCTGGCGAGGAGCTGTATTGATCCGTGCGTGTGCGAGGTGGCTCTGGTCCATGGTTATCTGCAATCACCTTCCACCGCACGTTGGGACATTGGAATTTTACTGGTGGGACTGGTTTGTGCCGGTGGGGATTACGACCTGTGACGGGTGGCAATGGGAGACGCCCGAATTTCAGACCGCCTGGAATCTGCCACTATCCGGTCCCAGCTGCCAAAGCTGGAGGGTGGGAACCGTCCCAGCGTGCACGCTCATCGGGGAAGCATCCCTCATCACCTCAAAGGCCATCCTTGGGCCTTTGGAGACCATCCAGAAGGTTGAGGTTCCACCAAGCTCCTTGTAGGCATCTCAGCAGCTTCCCTGGGCCTGGAGGATCTCCGTCGATGAAGACCGGCCAGTGGAGAAGCAACGCAAGGCGGTGGAGCCCTGCGGTGGGATCCATAGCCTGGATTTCCAGAAGAGATCTCCAGCCAAGTTGATGGTGTCTTCACCCCAAACCGAAGAAACCTTATCACCAGATCCCCCCAAAAAACTGTTCTTGGAAAGCCACACGGCAAATTATCCAGGCGCCGTGTCTGGACATGAGCTCGTTCCTTTTCTGCAGGACCTGGGAGTTTTGGATTCAGCTCTGGGAGCACCGATTTGGGTTAAGATCCCAGGTTTTGGCAACCCTCACGGCCTCTTCTTTCTTCCCTGATCAAGACCCATCCACGGGGCCGTTCTGGTTCCCCTTCTGCAGAGCATCATTTTGGAGGCCAGAAGAAAGGAAGAGGATGTTCCCATCGAGATTAAGTCTCACTTTCTTTCTCTCACCCCAGGTGACTTCTTTTGTCTCCTTTTCCATGGCAGAAATCCCCGTACGACCTCACGGAGAAGGAAAGGAAGAGGTCCCAGAGATCCTAGCATCTCCAACCACGTGACGGAATTTTCCTCCACGTCTTTCTACGGCGAGGGGTTGCTTTATCTCAGCTCGAAACGAAAACAGGTTTCGAAATTACAGGGCCTTGCCCAAGCCTTCCCATCAGCAAGATTCCCACGAGCCAGAAGGCATCTCCTCATCCCATCCCACCCCATCCCATCCAATCCCATCCCATCCCATCCCTCCGGATACATTCCCTCACGGAGCATCCGCGGTGTCCCCGTCCCCGTCCCCATCCACCGGATTGACTTACGCTCCTCGCCTCCGTTGCCCCCCTTCACGTTTTGTGCCAGCAGCGGGGTGGCGGACAGCAGTCCCACCACGAGGATGAAGATGGGGGCGAAGCCGAAGGCCCCATGCCCGTCACGAGCCATTCCTGGAGGGGCAGAGAAACCAAAACCAGATCAGCTCGGGGACCACGGGAGAGCACCCGGTGCCACGTGAGGGACAGGGGGACAGTCCCAGCGCTGTCCTTCCACCTCCCAACAAGGGACTGAGGCAACGCCACCAGGATGCTCTTGGTGTTTTGGTGCACCTTCATCCCTACGGACCACGCCGTGGCCTCAATCCCTCTTCTCCACCCTCTTTTGGCCCAATTCAGCTCTCCGGCGGTGCCTCCAGCAACCCAGGGAGCACCATTTCCCTCCCAGTCCCCGTTAAACTGGGCGCGCCGAATTAACCCGGGATACGGAAGGCTCCCTCCACCAAACCACAGCGCGGACGGATCCGACCCGTAGGAAGGAAGAAACAAAGAGCCTGGAGAACCCCCCCAAATCCCACCCGGCACCATCCGACCCCTCGGAGATGGAGGCCACCGCTGTCCCCGCCGCGGGGACGGACTCACCTGCTGGAGGAGAAGGACGGGGCCAGCTCGGCGCGTCGGGAAGCCGAGAACCCGTCGTTGGGCCATATTTATACCGGGCCGAAAAGTAGGTTGTGTCTCCACCGGGGTGACTCAAGGGCGGTTGGGCGACGGGTCCAAGCGGCAAGCGGGACGAGCGCGGCCGTGGGTGTCTCCCCGGCCCCACGGGTGATTACCGCTTTGATGTCCCAGAGGAAAACGCCGCCCCGCTCCTCCCGACCTGCCCGAAAACAGACTGGCCGAGCTTGACGGATGGACAGACGGATGGACAGATGGACAAACCGGCTGGGTCACCCCCTTTCCTCGTGGGTGGGTGGGTGGGTTTGAGGGGGGTTGTCCCCACGGCTGCTGGGGTGGGATGGGCCTGATCCGGCCCTCTGGGCGTCGTTAAATGGAATGACCTGGGTGCTGTCCGTCTGTCCGTCTGTCCACCTCTCTCCCTGGCCGTCCGTCCAGCTGGCTGTCCTCCTGTCCGTCTGCCTAGCCGTGTGGTCAGTCTGTCCGTTTATCTGCCTGCCGGTCCGGCCGCCTGTCCGTCTGTCCTCTATCCGATTGCC